CCTAACCCAACAACGGATGACAATTTAGGGTTGAGTTACGGGAGGGGTAGGTATGCAATTACTCAGATACAGAATCTTACCGTATTTTCCAGCGGGAATCTTAAAGTTTCTTCTTTTTGGTGTCGCAAGTTCAGACATTTTTTTTTCTAACGCCCTGTTCATCTCTAGATCTTTGTACCAAGTAGCTGAAAGAAAGCACATTTTATCAGACCAAATACAGAAGAAACGTTGCACATACTTAGGTAATGAAGGCAGTTCCTTAAGAAATCTTTCAATAGCTTAATTGATGAACAAGAACTAAAGAATTTACTCACAGGAGTTGGTTTTGTGTAAAGTGACCCTTTGGAACATTCGGTCCTGGGAATAAAAGAAAAAAAAACGTACCTACATTATCATAAACCAGAATATTTCAGACAGTCTGTCAGACTCTGTCTTAAGTAAATCACCGAATTATTCTTGATTGTACTATTCATGGAGCAGATTTCTTTTCCAACATTTCTAAGTGAAAGTCAGCCATTTGTTGAGAGCCTACCGTAACAGGTTAGAATGTACCAGCTGGCTTCGAGACTAAAGCTCGCTGAAAAATATTTGCAGTCCCCATCTAAGAAAAGAAAAAACACATAGCCAGATTTAAGAGAAAGAGAAAATTGTTTGAGCTTGTCTTCAAGGGATTTCGACGATTTTGTAGCTCAAGCTTACACTTATTGCATACTGGATTTGTGACTATGCATGTGATACCGCTAAGACTGAGTTTTCTCAGTGTACCTTTAAGTTAGCAAAGAGATGCATTGACAGGAAAGTAAAGTATTGATTATTTTAAGGTAAAATCGACATTTCGTTTCTTTCCCATGAATTAAAAAAAACCCTGATGTACCCTTCTAAGCATTAAATTGGATGATTTACTTACTTTCGGCCCAAGGCAAAGAGCATGACAGACATTTCTTCTCTTTCGTTTTTACATTCACACTGTTAAGTGACGGATAAGAAAAACAAACGTTAGTCATTCTCTTTCCTGTCGTCATCCACGCCGATTTCCTGCGATATTTGATCAACTCATGGTGCGACCTTCACTGAATACAACAAGAACAGTGTTTACGATTAGACAGACGCAAAACCTGCGCAAAAACTTGGATACGATAACTACGATGAGACCTGGGACGAGCTCTGCCACGTAATGAGTTCAAAGGCGTTTATATGCTGACTTCTAGAGTCGATTTTGCTGATCGAGAGCGTTTTGTTGAGTGACGGAGAGAGACAGATCAGTATTGGTTGTGTGTTCAATTATACGAGAGTTGAAAAAGTGCATACGACTTGTAAAAATATTACAAAATTATTGACTTCTACCTGTAAATATGTCTGTCTCTAGGCGATGTTTCTGCACTCTGAAAATACCTGTGGGTTAAAATAAGAACTATCAAGAAAAAAAATAAGTATCATCAAATTCCGCGCTAAAACTCGGGGTTAAGTTGCCAAGTGCCCGATCAATAAAACCCTATAACAAACATTTCGTTGATGACAAATCTACTCTCTTTGCACGGGGTGGGGTGCGAGGGGAAAAATGGGATGCGCCTCACGACCAAGAAAAATAATTAATTTGTCCTCTCTATCGCCAAATAACCTAAGTTGGCACTCCATCAGCCGTGCGTGATGGACTGAATATGGTATAAAAATAAACGAAGAGGCAGTTCTTAATATCTTTAAGCACTCAGTGAAACAAAGTAAACGATGTAGTAGGTAATGAAACGAGGAAATTAGGAAATAAAACGAGATAAAACAAGGAGAGAGATCACGAAACAAAAAGAAATGAGTAGAAGAATTCAAGAATGACTTACACTGTTTCGGTGTCTTTCTTAAACGCCAAAATTTTGACGACTTCCCATGTTCCAAAGGTGAGAAAGGTGATGTTGTCTTTCCCTGAAGGCTGTAAATGTAATGGAAAAAAACCAAACAAACAAACTACATGAAAACGTTTGCGTTCTTCCTTTCTGATTTGATCAATATTGGTCCCTCTGTTAGCTTCTCTTCAAAACCCTTCCCCAAGGAAAACCTTTCCCTTAATTCGCAACGGATTCTTAGTAGAAAGACCTTACAGAACTGCACATGCTCACTTCTTAAAAACCTAAATTTCTCAGCCGTTCACCGAACCTATTTAACCTTTTAACTCCCAGAAGTGATTAACACGTAACTTCTCCCTACAATATCCATACATTATTCAGCAAACAGGTAATAAGAATATTAAAACTCATCAGGTACGAGACATTAACTTGATCGAACACTAAATTCTCGTAACCAATTTACAAGGAAATGTGTAGTAACTAGAAGGGAGAAGTAACGATCAGATCTTGGGAGTTAAAGGGTTAAGTTCATCAGTACTTACAGTGACCATGACTTGCGCTACATGAATGAAGCTTCCATCGTTTCCTTGTGGTGAAGGTATGAGAGTCACATAATAAGAGCCATCTTTTGAGAACCACGGGTTCGGGGGCTGTAAATAACAGTAGTTATCAGTCATTTCACATTTCCTATGTTTAATCGTGGGGCGCAGAGTGATTACATTTAGAAAATATTTCACAACGACATTGATGGCACAACTAGCTAACAGACCTACCAGGTATGTTTTGGTATCCACCCAACCGTTTGTCACCTGAGTTCTTTGATTCTGAAAGAAAAAATGATTAAAAAACAACAGAAATAACAATTATAAAATAGCTTAAAGGAGAATTTCCGGGCGCAATATTAATGACGTGAACTATATGTAGGAATTGATTCATTGACCGATAGTTTTTACCTACAGCCTCACAAGTGCAACAAGCAGGAATTGTTTGTGCAGAAATAACGCGAAAAATTTGTCTACATTTAAAGACGTAATATCATCTGAGAATGCGTTGTATGTTGTTACCTCGGCGCAGTTCCCGGATGGAGCGTCACAGATGGATGCAATAGAAGTGTCCTGAACTCTGTTCAGCCACCAAACTAACACTTTACTATTTGACGCCCATCCCACGTTAGTGTAGTAATGTTCTCTGATAAAAAAAAAGATCACTCAAACATGAGAATATCCCAGAGACAAACATACGACTGTGATGATGACTTCCGTTTAAGTTGTCGAACTTCAGTCACTACTACCTACGCAGATCTCTCCTCTCTTCGCATACGATCAAAGCACACGATGAAATGTTACTCCTGGGATCAAATATTTCTTGGATAAATGGAAAATTACGATAAATGCAGAAGGGAGCAGAAGGTTAGAGAAGAGGGAAGGGGCTTAAGGAGAATGGGGACGAATGGAGGAAAGAGGGCATCTGTAGGTAGGTACTGACTATTCAGCCGGCGTAAATATACATGTATCTACATTTTTCCATGATTCAAATTTCAAATCTTATATCTCATAGAAGCACATCCCACATCCAATATCCCACATCTCACACCTCACACCACATCTCATATCTCGTATCTCGTATCTCGTATATATTCTCACACCTCACCTCACACCTCATACCTCATATCTCATATCTCATATCTCACATCTCATATCACATATCTCAAAGCTCATATCTCACAGCTGAAATCTCATATCTCACATTTCATCTCTCACATCATATAACTACAAATCTCACGTAGTTGTTCGTAACAAGCAATGAAGCACTTACACATTTGTAAAATCAGCTGGTGGATTTAAGTCCATGATATTAGGTACTTGGCTTTTATTCGATGGCAGCTTGTTCAAGTCCACCATTTTGATTTTTACAACGGGATTTGGTGAGCCAGGTTTGGGGTAAGCTATCTTCTTCACTGTGGTGTACATATCAGAGTATTTACCGTACCACAGGTAAGAAAACCACTTTACTTGAGTATCATTAGACTGTGCGTAAGCCAGATATCGGCCGTCCGGGGAGAACCACATGGCTACATTTGTGGACGTAACGTCCTCTATGAATGAAAGTTAAGAAGGTGTCTTTAGGAAAGTTCACGAGAACTTAAGTCAACGTCCACACCGCTCTATGTAATGCTCATTATGGAGAAACATACACAGACCACTACAAAGTAGACAGGAACGAGTGTTAAACAGTCAAATATTACTTGCCTTCGTAAACCCAATCAGGGACGCCATTGAAGAGCTCGTTCTCTTTTCCGTTGTCAGTTATGGTATGGACGGTGCCTCCAATTTTGTCCAACCAGTAAATATTATTATCTTGTACAAAGCCCTTTCAGTCAGAAAATTGTGAGAAGTATTATAAAATTGAGAGTGTCAGACAATCTTCCGACCCCCTCCCCTCCTCAGGAGTGTCAGTTTCTGATAAAAATATCGGGGAGAAGGGTGGGGATAGAGGTTCTTACCATTATAGGGGGTAAATTGGTGTATAAGTGCCGGTTAGGAAAATTAACAGTGTAAAACTCTAATAAACGACGCTAAAATTATTGCGACACTGAATTTACGGGAAACATGAGGTGGTTGAACAGATCAATGCTGGGAGCAGTAGGCTTTTTGATACATCAATAACTTAGAGGAATTATGGGCCTGAAAGAAGTCATCTTATTTTCCGCTGTTCTTTTAGAAATGGCACGAAATAGGTAAGACAAGTTCGAGGTATACGCATACAAATGATTCTGATTCTTTAGAGATTACTTACTATAGAGGTGTCATTGTTTCCCCATATAGCTAACTGAATCTGTTTATTTGGGTCAGGTGGTATAACTCGAAAAGTTGATCTGAAACGAAGGTAGACAAAACTGAACTAAGTGGCGTTAACTAAGAATAGGGATCATAGTCAAATTTCTTATTATGTTCTTAAGAAAACATGGTACTTCGGAATTCCAGTTACAAAGCTTTTTCCTAATGACTCTAAACTGGAATGCGAAGTAAAAACTAAGAGGAGATAACAAAAGAGGGTAGTTTTTGGATCTGTTTTCTATCATAAACAATTGTTAAAAAAATTTCTCTACAAACCCCTTTTCAAAGTTGTACACATAGTAATCAGCAAAAAAAGATCTCCGATACAACTGAAAGAAAAACATTAAAATATATTTTACTCTTTTGCCTGAAAGTCAAGTTAAACTAGCTTCTTGAACGGTGACGGTTGTATTACTAAAGTAAAATATTAAAAGTTGTCTCAAGCGTGGGGCGAAGAACAGTGATGGTTGTATTTCTAAAGGATAATATTCAAAGTTGTCTCGAGCGTGGGACGAATAAAACTTTGGGAGTCCTGTGTGAACTCGAAGCCCCTTACGGTTAGATGCCCTACTAAGCTACATGGAAATCGTTGGCGAGCTACACCGTACTCCGGGTATCATGGGAGTAAGTCATTTAACCTGCTTTTACGCATGGATAAGGCTCAAAGCTGTACTGTTAACTGAACTACTGATCGTCTGAAGGCTCTGATCTCAAAAGTCTGTGGTGTGTAGCCCTTCAAATCTCTTAAAAAGACAAAGTTCTACAAGTCGCCCTAAGTTGGTAGCCTGTGTCATCTGGGATCTGCTCGAGCATAAACCCAAATTTAGAACCTCTTGCATAACTCTCTTGTATCTGAGATACGAGAGTTATGCAAACTCGGTGAACGATAAAAACAGCCTACGTAAGTGACTTTTTGGCGTAGGAAGAGTTTACCTTTCTCGAGTTTTTATAAAAAGAGTAAAGCTTGTACCGCACGCGAAACCGCTGCAAATCACGGACCCATTTAATCATCCGATCGATTGAGGACGAAAAAGAAATACATGATATTTTATGGGTTATACCTTTCTCTTGTTGGAAGCCAAAAGAACCCATTTTCCATTAGACGAAATCCAATAATTAGAAACGTTGAAATTGTCCTATCATGAGAAAAAATAAACAACTTAAGTGATTCACATTTGCCCTCTTGCAACATCAAACCAAACTGAAACAGTTAATAAAAGGTAAATTGAGTTCTTCCTCGTAAATAACTGGGTACGTGACAGCTTGACAGAAAGTATAGTCACCTTTTTCGAGACGTTGTGTGACAAAGTATACTTTTCTCCTTGCGTGACATGTTCATCACAGGCCGTTTTGGTAGGGAGGAAACGCCTTAGATATAGACTTTCAACAATTATTGTAACAGGTAAAAATGTTAGAAGGAACGGAAACTAGCTAGTTATGTGTACTTACCAATATTTTTTTAAAATCAGAAAAAGGTACCGTGTCGTTTCTTAAAAGACTAGTCTCAGTCAAATTGCCCCCAGAATATCGGATATACACGTCGTCTAAGAAAACAAATGAATTCATCAGAAGTTTACATTCTAGATGATGTAGAAATAAGCAAAAGAAGCTTTAATGAGCTTTTGAACATCGAGTAAACGCAGGTGTAATTTTTGCATCATGGCACGTTCAGCGAAAAACTTTTCAAAAATTGGGTTGAAAAGTGGCAGAAAAAATAGCCAGAGTAGGAAGGAAATGGGAAGAAAGAAACGAAAGAGAGAGAGGGGAAGCGGGAAATTTCTTTTTTTAACAATTTATTTTATATTTAAGGAAAAATTTGAAAGGAGGGACATAAAAAATAAAGCTATTAGTTGTAAAGACAGTTGTGTATTTGAAGCGAGAAGCAGAAGAAGATAAGAACAGATCTGTTCCAAACCATTACCTTATTGAGTTGTGCTATTTCCCACAGTTATTTGGCTCAGGTTTGCACCTCATGTTTCCCTTCTTCCTCCAATTTTCTATTCAGTTTCCCCGGTTTCAAACAGGTCTTCCTCCAATTTTCTATTCAGTTTCTAGATCTCTCCCTCCCTTCCAGGGAGGGAGAGATCTGGTGTTTATGCTACCCCACTCCGTACTAAAACAACGAGGTACGTCCCTAAAGACACTAATGTAATATCTCCCCCGACTAAAACTTCTCGCCTGATCCTCTTTACAATCTTTAACGTGAGTGCCTCCTGAATCGTTTTGTGGCTTTTTTGCACTCACCTGTCTTCCATCGGACAGGAAATGTGGAGTAAGAGTAGTAGCTGTTGAAAATGTCGTCAAATCCGAACTTCTTCTTGAGAGTTTCTGATCCTCCGCTGGGTGCCTCAGTGGCTGCCAAAGAATATGTGTGTATATATATATAAGATGTAAAAACTTTCAAAATTTTTATTCTAAACTGGATAACCTTGGGAAAGTCTTTTTAGCAGTCGTTGTCTGGTTACAACGCAAACTGCGAAACCAAGCAGGCCAGTCCTTACACCGCACATTGACGCAGAGAGCTCTCTTGAAAACGACTTTTCAATATCTTGTAGAAACTGAACACTAGATTCCATTTAGTTTAAAAATAATTACTAAACTTCATTCTTCTGGGTCGATTGCTAAGAATTTCCATCGAAATCGAACCATTCTTTTTACACTTGAAATGAAAAGGATCTCAAGGCTTGAGTGTAACTTAACCGTGTGTAAAAGCGTTGTGTGACATTTGGCGTTACATGACCATACTGGCGCAACTGTGTGTGGCCGTGGTAACACCGAGGTAAATAAATGAGATTTCGTTTGCTTAACTATTCTAAAAGAGATTAAAATACATTACGATAGAGGCCATGCCACCAGATCAGATATGAAACAAGATAAGAAGAAAAGACAGATTGTTACTCTCAGGTAAATCTAAAGAAATTAACTCCGTTCAGCGCCAGTTGTGCATAACCATCAACAATGTAGCCATCTTTTCATAACCCAAATATTTTAGAAACTGTTTGCTCAACCGAACATTTTAAAAATAACACTTAAACAGTCATAGTTTTATGAAGGGATTGAGACGCTCCGAGCATAGTGGACCCGGTTGACAAACAAAAGAATCTAACTTAGAGCAGTGAAACATTTTACACGGATTAGCTAAGGGGTGTTTTGATCGTGTTCACAGTTTGAGAAAACAATCCGAATCTTAGCTCGCCCTCAAAAATACGTCATGTTGCATTTTCTGTGTCTTTAATTCAGATCTATCGAACTACAAAGCAAAGTCACAACAAACCTGCTTCCAAGACTTATAAAATAAAGGGAAACACACACCCACACTCACATAAAATTACAAGGGTGGGGAGGGACCGTTGAGGGTATGCACCTTAGAAGATAATTTCTCGTCAATGTTGCTCATTCAGAGACTCTTTACAAGTCTCTGAACTGTGAGAAAATAAAGCTAGTGTGCGATTTCCCCGGGCAGAGGCAACGCTTCGTTAAAGGTAGGTCCATAAGCAGCGTAAGTAAATACCTGGCATTATCTCGACGTACACTTGCGTAACTCACCTTTTGTTCTCGGTTTCCCGGAGAGAGTGATGGCCAGAATCATTGCAACTCCAACGAGCACACTTACAACAATAAGTGGTATACCGAACTTAAAAACTTGCGAGTTGGTACGCATTTTTGTGAAGTAAACTGAAGAACGTTGCGAACGACTGATCGAACAAAGAAGAACAAACTTAATGACAGCAATCGGACGCTTCGAAAGAAAACTGCCCGTCAAATGAAACAAGATACTGCCGTGTGGCGTCTCTGCTGTGGTGTCTAGCAGTTGTCTCGAATCGGGTCACGCAATAACCCTTGAAATCAATTTTCTCACATCTAGAATTAAACTTTGAGTCAATTCTTGGAAAGAAAACACAGTCAAATGACAAAAAAAATCTTAATTTTTTTTTTTAAGCTGAGGTCGTAATATTCTCGATTTTACTTTAGACGAACATTTTCTAAGAAATTGTCGTAGAAGTATGCATGCATACTCAAAGCCACCTGTTCCTTGTTAAAATGTTCACTTTCTTACTCTCTGAATTTCCTTCTACTATAAATTTTCAGTCTCACACATGTACTGTACTTCTTGCCTTGCCTTTTTTAATACCATGGCGGACGCAAAATTGCAATGCACGAATTTGCAAATTTTCAGCGACAAGACTCCTATCGTAAAAGCGTGACAACCTTCAACTTGGGTGTCCACTGTTATATGAAACGTTATTAAAAAATTAACAAGAAAAGAACTAATACAGAATATAAAGTGGAAACAACCTTACTGTATTTTCAAGGCTTACCTCTGGCTTCTTTACTGTCTTGATTTCTCGTCACTACGATTGCGACGATAACAAACAAAGCTAGGAACGATGACAGGCATACTGCAAGAATAATTTTCCAGCTACGTTTAAACCGCATTTTCAGACAGTTTTCCGAACTTCTATCCGCCGATTCCGCCATGACAGTGAAACAACTTGAAACGCAAATGTAGTTTGACCAGCGCCTGTCGCAGATTGCTTCCGGTACCCCACTGACAGAATTGCCAAAAATTTCTGATTTGGTTTATCGATATTGTTTTACGTACAATTATTCAATTTACAGACAATAGTTTTCCCACTGGGAAAATAAAACGGTCCAGAGGTCAAAACAAATCTAAAAGACATCCCGGATTGTAGTGTGATTTTTGAGGTCTGAACAACAACAAGTTCACAAAAGCTCTGAGAAAAGTCAGAGTGTAAAGATTTATCTTCCAGAGTAAAAATGTAAATTTACGAATAGCAGATGATTTAAAACATTATTATCCTTTTTAGGTGTTAATGCACACTTTGAAAATAAAGACCAAGTATAACTTTACACATTCCAACCTGTCTTAAAGCTCTTCTTTACACCCTAACATCATTATGCAAGTTCTCCATACTGTTCTGTGTTTAGCAATATTCAGGAATGATTCTGTTAAAAGAAATTACCAGCAAATAGTTATTATTCTCAGGGGTTAACCCATTGACCCCCAAGAGTGACTAGCAGCTAATTTCTCCTTACAATATCACCCCTGAATCACGCATTAAGGTCATGAGAATAAAGGAAATGATCACTAATCAAAGAAGCTCTTGATTTTTAAACAAATTCTCCTTGTAAGAACCTTAGGAAATGTATAGAGAACAGTATGGAGAATATACATTCTGATGAAGGGTGCATAGGGTTAAAGGGAGGACTGGAACTGAAAACAAAATTAATCCTCAGTTTAGTATACATTTATTACTGAGTCATAACCGAGAATTTCTATTCGTTTATTTGAAAAATTCATTTAGAAGAACAGAAGCTGTCAATGCAGTACATACTAGTGATGTAAATGTACTTGCCTTGATCCACCACTGTGTATTTTCAGCAAATTTGTCAGGTACATGCTGTGTTGAAGGTTCCACAGAGTCACTGGCAGAGAGAGACCTAACTTTAATGGACTTAACAAGTCTGTCTAGCTCTTCAGCAGTTCTCTCTTTGCAGTGAAGAACAGAACTGTTGAGTGTAACTATGCTTTGTTGTAATGTCTTCAAATCTTCCTTCATTTCGTACTGATCAATTTTCAAGACCTCTATAACTGAGTCAATTCTTGATACAACACTGTTTATCAGCTCTTCAATATTACCTTGGTTTTGACTCATGGGAGAGTGTGCACTCTTAAAATGCTCAGGATCCAAAGCTGGTTGAACATGGATTCCCAAGTCCTTTAAAGGATCCGAAATTAAATTTAGAGTAAGTAGGTTTAACAAGCCTGCCAACTCTTCAAATTTTTGCTCTAATAATTTACTTTGTGTAGATAAAGATTCCTTCAAATCATTTGTCTGGCTCCCTATTTGATTTTCCTGTCCTTTTACCAGATCAGCAAGCTCATCAGTCTTTCCTATCAATGTTTTCCCAGTTTCCTTGATGGAGTTCTTGATTTGCTTCAAGCGGATGTAGTTCACCAGAGTTGAGCCTAAGATTCCTGAAAATAAAGGAAAATGTCAACAGGTAAAATTACAACAAATCATAGTTATTTACCTCTTAGACTCCTAAGATCTGAAAGCTCAGTCTCCTAACTAACTTGCAAATATATACTCACTGGACCTATTAGAGTTGTACAGCCACAACAAAACTAAAATGCTCTACTACTGCAATATTGCTGCATGACAAGTGCTTATAAAATTGCATGCAATGCACTTGAAAGTGATTCTTTGTATATTCAATCTTGTTGACTTCTACCACACCCTTAAGACTGGCCCAGGTGCGCTGTTTTATGCCAGATCTTCTTTGTCCAAGCTTTCACTCCCATGATCTGAATATCAATTCTCCCTACTGTCTGCAATAAATTTCTCATAATATTAGATTTGAGAATTTCTAGTTAAATCAAACTATATTCCCTGGTTTACATTTTCATAACATCTTACCATTTTTCAGCCTGAAAGTATATCAATCTTTTGAGGAAAAATACCCTTTTGATAACTATTCACAGTGATAGGGCTTAGGGCCAGCATACTTACCAAGTGCGGCACCACTAATAGAGCCAATCACAGACCAGTGTTTAGTCCTTTCCACTCTTGCCCTTTCTTTCTCGTGGGAGTCCCTCACAGCTCCTGACAGGATTGCAAACTGGTCTCTTTCCACAGCTTCCAAATCTTCGTATTCACCTTTCAACTTTTTTTCCTCCAGCAGAACCTTGTGTTCTTCTGTCGCTAAAGCTAGATAACGTTCGTCGTCTCGAGGAATCCGGTCTAACTTACAGCGAATGTCCCTTAGCTTTTCTTGCGCTGAATTCAGGTTTGATTTCGCGGACTGCACTTTACCCCGGGTAGACATAAATTCATTTTCTGCCTTTTTCACACCTGTCTGAGCTTCTTGTACATCGGAGATCCCTAAAAGATCATCCAAGGCTTGAAAGAGCCCGCCAACTTTCTCGTAAGAATTTTTCACCGCACGTTCACTCTTGATGGAAACGGCATTAGAAATCTTCGAGAACCACTGATCAGGCAAGTTACGGTTGTTGAGAATATTTGTCCCGTGAACGAATCGAAATCGTATAATTTGCTTTGTCTTAGCATTGATTTGAAAGCAGGGTGTGGTACATCGACTGCTTGTATGAAACAATAGTCTAGAGAATAACATTCTAACAGTCACAGAATTTGGAATTTTTTCAAGATTCATATGTGCAATCGGTCCGCCATGTTTCTTCACCCTATTCGAGAAAAGACTGGGGCGAGGAAAAAAAAAGGTTTAATCTGACAATGTTGAGGGAGGAGAGGTAAGGAATATTTTTCAAATAGTTTTCTTCGTAACAGATAAATATCCAGGATATATAAAACTAAAATTATTGAAAAATTAATGGTTCAAAAATTAGTTTTCTGAGTGACTGAGAATACCAACAATTTTTGTTTTCTGAACCAATTTTAAAATTTAAAAAAGCTCACCCTACCCCATCCTCATTACGAAAATGATTTGGTAGCATGAACCCCAGTTACCAGTTACCCTCGGTATTCAGATGAAAACATGGCGACATCAAATGTGGGTCGCTTGCAATGTTTGTACTCTCATGTTTCGAATTATCGCCAATACCACGGACTTCAGCAAGGGACATTTGTTTATTTAAGATTCACTGGAATTATTTACAATCGAAATGATGGTTTTCAAAAGAACTTTTCGACATCACCGAGAAATGCAGCGAGATCGGCAGATTTGTCGAGATATCAAAAATTCCGCAAAGTTATAAACACATTTGTGGCTGGAAGTAAACAGCTAGGAAAAGATGTAAAAGTGATGTTTCAGATACAGCGAAAATTAAAGAGTAATAATTACAACTGGGAGGTCTTGAAAACAGAGGAAATATTACATCTACATCAGGTGAGAATGGTAAATTTGAAAGAGCTTTTCTTTTGCAAGATAAGTCCTATAAAAAGTACTGGTACATGTCTTTGTTGAGGTTACAGTGAGCTTATGCATTTCACAGACAAGAAAAGATCTTCTGAAGAGTTTGCCTGTGGTTGTGGGATTCTTCATTCCATTCTTGGGTTATGCAGTTCCATTTGTAGCGTAAGTGTTTCAACAATTAAATCATTGTATAGATTGCAATGTACAAAATTGCTGTTTTTAAACTTAGTTATTGTTATTGGATTAAGAAAGATTATAGCCCCATACTATTTTAAAGAAAAGCTATTGTCCCAAATACAATCTATTGTTTTTGCAATTGTCTTCTTTATTCAAGAACTGTATGCATAATGAAGTACGGGGCTGTGTGAACACTCCCAAGTCCATTCCATGTCATAGTCATATTCACTTTTCTGTAAATGAGGTTGAAGCTTCTTCAATAATTGATTTGTGCTTAATTCTGGAAACTTATACAGTCAAAGTCAACTCTCATGTCCATTTTTAACTCTTTAACTCCCAGATCAAATTTTTAATTCTCCTTACTGTCAACCATACATTTCTTACAATGTTAGTTCAGAGAATTTAGTATTGGATCAACCAATTTTTCCCCGGTTGATATTTTTCTTAAATCTCATCACTTACCTGGTTGATATTATATTGATATTGTAAGGAGAAATTCTGTTTTGGTCACTCATGGGAGTGAAAGGGTTAACAGGATTATTATCAAAAAGGATAAATATAGATTTAAGTTGTTCTTGTGAAGTGAGAAAGACGAAATGCAAAACAGCAACAGAATTTGAAGCCATGACTAGTGGTAAGGTCCAGAATAACTGACCCTCACCAACAGGGTAATT